TTGGTGTTGGGGGGGGGGGGGGGGGTCGACGCGTATGCACGGGGGTTAGTTGGGCGGCGCGAAGTGAGAACGTCGTGGGGAAGGCCGAGGATCGGCGTGCGAATGTGGTGGAGCACTGAAACGTTGGCGCACGCACACACGGCGCAGCAGATGCAACGCGCAGTTTCGCCTCCTGCTGTCAATCATCAAGATCCTTTCCGATGTACTGCACATTCCGAGACAACATTAACAAAAGCACCGTCCGATTCCGTCACCGGTGGAGAGCACGCGCGCAAGACGTCGCGGCATACGAAAAAGCGACGATCTCCCTTGCGGCACGTGCCAAGACTACTTTACCAACACGCGGCTTCCATACCTTGACAGGCTTTCGCCGCCGCCGACACCGACACAGCAGCGTCTTCACCACCACCACCACCACCATCACCATCATCGGCACCAAGCTCGTTCTCACTACCACAAGGAGCGGCGGCGGCGGCGTCACCGGCGAACGCGAGGCACAGTCCGGCGAACGGTCTCGGATCGTCGTGGAGGTGGAGCACCCTAGACACGGCCCCGGTGAACAGCCTTGCGGGCTCAGGGCCGACGGCGGGCGGGGTGGGGAGGTCCGACGATGGGCCGGTGCCGCCGCTGCCGCCGCCGCCTCTGCTTGGACGGAAACCTGCCGAGGTGCCGAAGGCTTCGGTGCGGAGGCTGTCCGCGCTGATCCCGGCTAGCGAGGTAACGGCGGCCACGGACAGGGTGCTGGAAACGAAGTACAGGGGTCGGGCGGGGTGGGGCACGGATGCTTATCGTGCCTCGGTCTTGCACGGCAGGCGGCGTCAGGACAACTGTTACACCTAACGCTAGCCGACCCGAGGCTGCCCCGCAACTGGGTACCCGTGTTCCATCTAGAGGGGGCGGGCCCCGTGTAAAGCGTTATTTTTCATTTCCAGCGCTCTTATTTTCCAGCCGCATCGGCTCTGTCTACAGTAGTTGTCCGAACCAAGGGAGAGATTGGGGGTCAGCGTCGTCTCTTCTCAATGTCCCGCTTGTGCCAAGAAAAAACACGAACGCGACACGTTTGGGTGGCTTTGTGTCCCGCACGCAAAGTCGACAATGCATTTCCCAGCACTGACCTATGTTGAGGACAGTCATTGCTGTATTCTTCACGCGAAAAATACACAAGAAGCCAAAGACCAAGAACCTTTTCTTTAGCACCAGGCTCGTTTCCAACTCTCTGCGTGTGGAGTACCCCCACATCGACCACATAGGTATACAGCATGGGTTTAAGGTTCATAACCGGGCGCCTGTTCTGACGGTCAAGCTCAAAAATGTTTCCCTTTGTGATCCTGAACTTCGTAGAAACATTCCCAGCTCTTCTCTACATGTTGGTGCCTTCTGTACGGCCTCGGCAATCGTTTTAGCCACCTTGGCGCACCAGCAGCAACTCGCACCTGAACTCCACCTCCCAGTCCCCCTCGCGCTGCTTAGCACCGCCCCCACCACCGCCCCTCATCCGCAGGAACCGATTGTTCCTCATCCCCCGCTCCGCCGCCCGTATCCCGGCCGCCACCAGCACGTGACCGTTCTCGCACGCGTTTCTCGCCAGAAGGACGAACACTCCCACGGACTCCGGAGTCAGGGCCAGCACGTCGAGCCACACCCCGGCCTCGCCCTCACCCCCCTCCCCGCCGCCTCCCTCGGAACTGCCGCCGCCCTCCCGACTTTCCGACGCCGCCGCTGGAGGCGCTGGAGGCGGCGGCGGCGGCGGCGGCGGCGGCGGCGGCGGCGGCGGCGGCGGCGGG